TTCTTACATTAAAACAATTTTTTTTTTAATATTTACTTATTTTGGGGGACAGAGAGAGTGCAAGCAGGGGAGAGGCAGAGACAGAGATAGATACAGAATCTGAAGCAGGCTCCAAGCTGTCAGCACAGAGCCCAATGCTGGGCTTAAACCCACAAAGCATGGGGTCATGACCTGCGCTGAAGTTGGATGCTTAACTGAGCCACCCAGGCATCCCATGAATTTTCTTACATTTTAAAAGGTTACATAGGGGCCTTTGAGTGGCTCAGTGGGTTAAGCGTTGACTTCGGCTCAGGTCATGATCCCATGGTTCATGAGTTCAAGCCCCACACTGAGCTGACTGCTGTCAGCACAGAGCCCACTTGGGATATTTTTTTTCTCCCTCTCTCTCTGCCCCTCCTCTGCTCACACTCTCTCTCTGAAAAGTAAATAAACATTTTTTAAAAAATCTTTTGAAAAGTTACATAATATAGAATTATTTTCTACCTTATTTTATTCCTTTTTAACCACATTATGTTTTTTAACCTTCTTGTCCTTACTAATTCAGATACAGCACCAAAATTCCATTTTCATCTAACTTGAGATTTTAAAGGAAAGATACATGATAACTTTTAAAGGAAATGGGGGAGAAAACTGTTTTTTTCTGTGACTTATGAACAGAATATGACCTTTTATACACAGCTCAGTATTAGGCTTTTAAAAAATAATCACAAAACTATTCACTACAGAATTCCTTCTATATGAGCTTTCCTGGTGAATTTAGTAATGGTTATTAGATCATTGCTACTTGACAAAGAAACTGGAGTGTCAATGAACAGCCACAAAAGAAAAAAAAATAGGCCTTCTGAAATTAAAGTTAGTGAGCAAGGTGGCATTTATAATTCCAATGGCCTTTCAGAAATATCCCCATTGTATAAAGTGAGCTACACCTGTAGAAATTCTTCCTTTGGACCAATCAACTACACTACTCGGTCTTTAAAAGTCTGACTGTTGACACCTGTGGTTATAGACATGGCTGCAGATTTTAATCACCTGGGAGAACATTAATAAAAAAAAAATCATGGTGCTGGAGCTCCATCCCATCCACCCCAATTAAATCTGACTGTGTACTTGAACAAGGCAGTGAAAGCCTTGGTATGGGTATTTTTTTCAAGGTTCCCCAGGAGATTCTGATGGGTAACTGGGTTGCAAACTACCTAAATCTGAAAGAAATTTTTTATTTCAAATTCCCTGAGCAACTTGCAAGCATCTGGTTGGAACTTGAAATTTTTTTCCTCCCTTTCTCAGAAGGGGGCAACTGGACTGTGCTAATGATATAACCAAGACAGTTGGGAAGAGAAGAGAATCTGACTTGTGGTGAAGATACCCACAGAAATTATTTAAAGAAGGTGAACTTGTCTTACTGAGGGTGCCTCATGGCTACTTTATGACGTCATGCTTACCAAGGTCTTTCTCTCCTTTCAGAGCTAGCTTCCTAAGAAAGGATGAAGCCAGACAGTTGGCTTCCTCTGGTATCTTGCTCTATTCCCTATTTAGTAAGCCCTCAAAATGTGAGCCTGAGACACTTTGAAGTGGAGGGCATTTTTGGTCAAATGAAGTTCTCCTACTTTAGGTAATGGGGACATGCTTTAACCGTTTTTTTCCCAGCTTTCCATGACTTACTGAAAATGAGAAGCAGAGACCACAGCAGCTAAGGGTGAGTGTTGGACAGACCACACAAGTTGAAATTCTGACTCTTCTATTTTCTAAATATCTATATATTTGGACAAATGACTCAATTTATCTGAAACTTGTTTGTTTGTTTGTTTGTTTTTTCTTTTTCATCTGTGAAATGGTGATGATATTTTCAGGGATATTGAAAGAATTAAATGAAATAATGAATACAGAATCCTTAATAAAGGATTAAATGTAGCGGCGCCTGGATGGTTCAGTTGGTTAAGCATCTGACTCTTGATTTTGGCTCAGGTTATGTTCTCGTAGTTTGTGGGATTGAGCCCCACATCAGGTTCTGCACTGGCAATGTGGAGCCTGCTTGGGATTTTTCTCTCTTCTCTCTTGCCCCTGCCCCCTTCTCTCAAAGTAAATAAACAAACATTAAAAAGAATTTTTTAATGGAATAAAATATGCAAAATGCTCAGCATAATGCTTGAGTCAGACTAAGTAGACAAGAATTAATAGACATTACTATCAACTATTTTTATCCAACTCTACTTAACTGGAAAAATTAACCACCTTTCTCTAGAAACGTGCTGACTGATGCCCCTACCACCCTGGAATACTCTTTTCTTTTCCATTTATTTTTTATTTTAAGTAGGCTCCATGCCAATGTGGCTTGAACTCATGACCCTGAGATCTAGAGTTGCATGCTCTACTGACTGAGCCAGCCAGGCACCCCACACAAGCTTACCTCTCTTACCAATGGAGTTACAGCCTTATCAAGAGTATTTTTTGTTCCCAAACTTGTTTATGCCATTTACTTGTAATTAGAATTTAATTAAATGTTAAGTAAACAGATTAAATGTGAATATGGAGGGTTATTTGATAACTAGGTGGAATACATAATTAATTCAAATTGCAAAAATAAATGCCCAAGTGGTGAAACTATGAACTGTAAGACTTAGAAAATGATAATAATCTAGAAGAATTCTAGGACTAAATTTTGGCTCTGCTTTTGTGAAACAAATGTTGGAAATCCTATGAATGCCATTTATGTGATAAATTAACAAAGATCTCTAGTCAGCATATTTAAAAAAGAAAAAGACTTAGTTTTATATCAAAAGATAGATGACTGAATGTGCACTTGTAAAGTCTACATACAAATATTGATAGATATCATTAAAAAATTATCACATATTTTTTATTAGCCCACCCTCTTATCATGTTGAATAAAGCAGCTTTTACTAAATTATTATTTTCCAAAGATTTCACACTAGGAGAAAGTGGGGAGAGGTGATTTCATTTCCTCCAGTCAGCCTTTCCATTATAATTAGCCTAAGATAGGTAATTAGCTTTTTTCCTCTGGTTTTTGTATTTTTATTATCAAAACCTTCAAACACAAGAGTATGATCATTCTATAGGTATAATGATCAATCACCCAGCTTCAACAACTATCAACTCATAGCCAATCTTTTTGATTTTTATTCTACCAAGTCCCTTGCTGCCTATATTATTTTGGAGCTATATCCCAAAGTTGATTTTTTTCATAGCTAAAAGATTTTATTTTATAAAGAAATAAAGAAAATGTTATTTTTTTAATATAATTTATTGTCAAGTTAGGTAACATACATTGTATATAGTGTGCTCTTGGTTTCAGGGGTAGATTCCCATGATTCATCGCTTACATACAACACCCAATGCTCATCCCAACAAGTGCCCTCCTCAATGCCCATCACCCATTTTCCTGTCTCCCACCACCCCCCCCAGCCCCCCAAATAAACCCTCGGTTTGTTCTCTGTACTTAAGAGTCTCTTATGGGTTTGCCTTCCTCTCTGTTTGAAACTATTTTTTCTCCTTCCCTTCCCCCATGGTATTCTGTTAAGTTTCTCAAGTTCCACATATGAGTGAAAACATATGATATCTGTCTTTCTCTGACTAACTTATTTCACCTAGCATAATTCCCTCCAGTTCTATCCACATTGTTGCAAATGGCAGGATTTCATTCTTTCTCATTGCCAAGTAGTAGTCCATTATATATATAAACCACATCTTCTTTATCCATTCATCCGTCAATGGACATTTGGGTTCTTTCCATGATTTGGCTATTGTTGAAAGTGCTTCTGTAAACTTTGGGGTACAAGTGCCCCTATGAACCAGAACTCCTGTATCCTTTGGATAAATTCCTAGTAGTGCTTTTGTTGGGTCATAGGGTAGTTCTATTTTTTTTTTAATTTTTTTTAATGTTTATTTATTTTTGAGGCAGAGAGAGACAGAACATGAACGGGGGAGGGTCAGAAGAGAGGGAGACACAGAATCAGAAGCAGGCTCCAGGCTCTGAGCCATCAGCCCAGAGCCCGACGCGGGGCCCGAACCCAGGAACCGCAAGATCGTGACCTGAGTTGAAGTCGGACGCTTAACCGACTGAGCCACCCAGGCGCCCCCTATTTTTAATTTTTTGAGGAAACTCCACACTGTTTTCCAGAGCAGCTGGATCAGTTTGCACTGAAGTATAATATGCATATGGAAAAGTGCATACATCATTAAGTGTGGAGTGGAATTGCAGGGTCCCATTCAGCTTTTATAAATATTGCCAAGAATTTTCAAGTTGGTTGTTCTAATTTCAGAGTTTAAATATTTGTTTTGTGGTGTTAGCCTGGAAGGCTCAGAACCCATCCACATAGTCCTGAGGAGAAGAAAGGCCTGTGTGGGAAAGCTCTTAATCCCTATGAGGAAGGGTCTAAGAGGCTTTTAGGTACCATATCTGAACCTCATCCCTCTTTAGTAACTTTTTTTTGAGAAAATGTTTAATTCCCTAACTGGGATTATAGAAAAGACTAACTTCATGGGAGATAGCCAACTAAGGTCCTGTATGGAGGACCCAGAATCACAAACATACAAACTGTAGGATTTAAAAAATGTTATTGGAGGTTTAGGTCATTTATGTAATGTAAGTATGGGATATGACTCTGTAGATCTTCTACTTGGAAATATGTCCCAGGATGCAAGTCATATGCAAATAGAGACACATGGATGTAACAGGAGACCTGACCTATATGTGCAATTGTGATAATCTCCATTTGTCTATAAGAGGGTAAATGACCAAGATGCTATGGTGCAAATAGACTTATTAGAGCTTGGAGGATAGGGGGACAATGTGAAATCAGATTTTCTGGCTTGGACAACTGAACTGAGAGTAGAGCTATTAACCCTGATAAGGAATATGGGAAAAACAGCAGTCATACTGTGTGGATAATGCAACTTTGACTACGAGAAGTCCTTTGAACAGGTGGGGGCAGACTCTCCTTCAACCAATGAAAGAAATCATATCTGGCTTCTTGAATAGTTCCATGGTGTCACCAACAAACTATACTACACCAATAGTAGTATCAGTAACAGGAAACTCTAGTCCACTAGGTGGTATTGAAGAGGTGCTCAACCCAACCCTCCACCATGAGTGTGATAATGTGGTGAACTGTCATGAGGTGAGTTGTTCATGTCTGTCTCCCCAGCAAACTATAGGCTCTGTGAGGGCAGACACTGAGTCTTTTCATTGTTGAATACCCCGTGCTAACACTGTGGTAGACCCAAAGGAGATGCTCAACAAATAGACATTGAACTGAATTGGATTGAGGTCCCCTATAATGATTGGTCATAGGAGTCTTGTATATCTCAGGAGACTGTAATTGAATCAAATGACAGGCAAGAGATGCTTCCTGTACATGGAAGGTTTAGGGTGTGCTGGAGGCATTTGTACATAGCAAAGATTATTTGGAGATTTGCTTTGGAATAAACAATTGGTATTGTTTATCATAATTGCACGTTATAAATCTAGGTTTTTTAAGCTCTTAAACTGAGCTTACAAATACAATAATTATATTTTTACCTGTGGTAAAGTTTACCGATCACTTTTAAGGAGATAGCATATGATTGTTCCACTTATATATCTTGTTAGCTAGGGGCACCTGGGTGGCTCAGTTGGTTAAGTGTCCAACTTGAGCTCAGGTCATGATCTTGCAGTTCATGAGTTTAAGCCCCACATCCAGCTCCCCAGGGACAGTGCTGAGCTTGTTTGGCATTCTTGCTCTCTGCCCCTCGCCCACTGGCATGTGTTCTTTCTTTCTCTCAAAATAAATAAATAAACTTAAAAAAATAAATAAAAATAAATCTAGTTAGCTAAATCATTTTTCCAAAGTAGCACATATAATAGGCTATAGTTTACAAATTTAATATATTTGAGTTTTGTTTAAAAGATTTTACTTTTCTTAAATAGATTCTTAAATACTTAAATAACTCATGTGTGTGTATAAAATAAAATTCCCTTAGATATGCTGATATCCCCCAAAAACTCAATGAGATTTCAACTTAAAACCACAATTCTAAACCAATTACTCAATTACACGTTTTCAGTTGGAGTTATGAGGCTGTCTTCTAAATAGTACAGGACAAATGCCAATACATCAATACAACAATATTCATACCATGGTTTCGATTCTCTGAAACTTTTCCTAGACTTAATTCTAAATATTTCCAGAGTTAAAAAAAAAAAAATGCATGGGGGCACCTGGTGGCTCAGTCGTTAAGCAGCTGACTTCAGCTCAGGGCATGCCTCACATGTTCCTGAGTTCAAGTCCCCCATCAGGTGAGCTCCAGCCCAGCATGGGGTAAGCAGGAGCCCTGCTTGAGCCCCACTTCTGGTGAGCATGAGCCCTGCTTCAGATGAGCCCCAGTTCTCTCTCTCTCTCTCTCTCTCTCTCTCTCTGTCTTTGCCTCTCTGTCTCCCTCTACCTCTCTGAGATTCTCTGTCTCTCTCTGCCCCTCGCTCACTCACGCCCCTCCCCCAGTCTCTCAACAACAAAAATACCTCCTCATTTAATGAAGACAATTACTAGGCTAGTTAACTGAGGTTGCCCTTTTCACAATAAAGATAGATACTATACCAGGTAATAGTGATCATTTGGGACCAGTGATTTTATCCAGACATGACACCTAGAGCTCCAGAGACATTTAGTGATTCTTCTCCACCCTCTACTGTCAACCTGAGCTCCTTCTCTTAGTCACTGTGGTTTGGGCTTTGAAAATTGATGGGAGGCTCTCTGTCCTCTATCTCGCAGTACCTAGTTCTCTTTTGTTAAGAGCCCAACTCCCAACCAACTCTGAACCGTGCTGATCAGATCATTTTGTGTTTCTTCAGCTCTTAAATATGTGCATAGGCTTCCCATTAATATCTAAAGACTTTTGGACTTGACATAATTTGAATATACATAATTTTTTTAACTTAAAAGACTTTGAACTTGACAAAGCCCTAAGATATGAAAATGTTTCTCTTTTCTGCTTGATGGAAACTAAGAACAATATATTCTTCAGAAGCATTAAAATGATGCTGTGACTTTGACTTGCGGCCCTAACTAATGAAATCAATCTATTAGTACATTCCCTCAAAGTTAAAATATAAAGACCCTTGGGGCACCTGGGTGGCTCTGCGGTTAAGTGTCCAACTTCGGCTCAGGTCATGCTCTCACAGTTCAGTTTGTGAGTTTGAGCCCCACATCCAGCTCTGTGCTGACGGCTCGGAGCCTGGAGCCTGCTTCGGATCCTGTCTCCCTCTTTCTCTGCCCCTCCCCCACTCATGCTCTGTCTCTCTCTCTTTCAAAAATAAATAAACATTAAAAAAGATCACTGCATTTTCCTCACTTAGTCCAAATGCTATTCAGAGTCCTTCAGTACTGTTTCAGATGACTCTATGGAGGCCTATGAAGTGAGCCTAGAGAGGACACCCTTGTTGTCCTGCTAAGGGAGGATTAAACAATTAAAGACTGGAAGAAATGTGTTTTCAAAGGAAAGATATTAACCTAAATTTGAGGAGGTATAGTTTAATGGTTAAGACCGTGGATTCTGGGAAACATACCTGCTTTCAAATACTTGTTCCACTTCTTACTGTGAGCTTTGAAAAAAATTTTAATCTCCTTGTACCTCAGTTTCCTCATCTTAAATATTTTCTTTAATACTTATTCACTTTTGAGGGAGAGAGGGAGACAGAGCGTGAGTAGTGGAGGGGCAGAGAGAGAGGGAGACACAGAATCTGAAGCAGGCTCCAGGCTCTGACCTGTCAGCACAGAGTCAGACACGGGGCTCTACCCCAAGAGCCTAGAGATCATGACCTGAGCCAAAGTTGGGACACTTAACTGGCAGCCACCCAGGAACCCCTAAGTTTCCTCATCTTAAAATGAGAATAACAGTGAGACTTAAATGAGATAATACATGTAAAATGCTTAGCAAGATGCCCAGGACATTATAAATGTTTACTAATGAATAATGACAGTGGCTCCCTGAATGTTCTGGGAGACAGCCGAGGGAGGAAGCACACCTTCACCCACGGAGGCAAAATGAGGGCACTGCGGGACAGCAGCAACAGTCAAGGCAGCTGAGCGGGACTACAGTCTTTTCAAACAAAGGCATGGAGCAGAAAATAAATCTGAGCCCCAGAATCCCATCTCAGAGGCCCAGCACTGCAAATAGCAGCTGCAGCTGCAGACCAAGGGCTGGCCTTTACATGTCCACAGCGTGAAAGGACTCATAATGACGAACCGATCTTTTCCATCACACCCACACAGCGTCAGCAATCCCACATAGGAATAAACTCTGGATATTAAGCAGCCATTTTTAGTAGAATATAGCAGCCTGGCTGATAATACAGACTATATGGGAAAGAGCGCTTGGCAAATGTTGTAAAGTGATTAGATGTTCTTGTATCTGCCATAGACGATTCTGAATCATTTCACTGCCAGTATAACTCCTTCCACCTGTAGAACACTTAGCACGTCCACACATGGTATCAAAGACTTCACATGTGTTAGCTCATTTAATCCTCTCACATCTCTACAGGACAGATATTATTATTGTCTCAGGCTAGATCGTGAAAGGGGCCAGCAAAAGATGAGGAAACTAAGGCTCAGAGGGTAAATAATTTGTCCAATATTGGAAGATCCTAAGTACAGAGCCAAGATCTAAACCCAATTCTGTCTGGTTCCAGCATCTCAAATGTTAAACACTTCTCTGTGCGGCTTTGAAATTGCAATGATATCTTGCTCACAAGTTATTCCATGTGTATATTTCTTGTTACCTCTAATAGTCCCCTTTGGGATGAAGCAGGGTGCCACATTTTTTGCTTTGTGTCTCCAAGTGTTTAATGCATAGTAGAAAGTGAATAGATACTTATTGATAATTTTGAACAGTGTTATGATGGGACAGGAGAATGGGATGAACTGGTCAGATCCCAGTGACAAACCTCAAAGTCACTTTCAAGAAAAAAGAAAGACTTGCCTCTCAAACCAGATACACTTAGTTTTTCAGCTGCAAATTACTAAGTGTCTGCTGTAGCCTATAAATACGATTAAGATAAGATCTTGCCTCAAGAATACTATAGTCTAGACTAAGTACTGCAAGTTCAAATGCCCACCTGGACTAGGCATGTAACATAAATGACTGAAGTGACCCAAGAAGCCAACCGGGGTAGCCCCTGTTGAGCTCCAGCTTATTGTTTCTTTCTGGACCAAATATTTCCAAGAGAAGTCATAAATTCATCTTTCATATGATTTTTATATTTTTTGTATGAAACAAGTGTGGGGGCCACACAAAATTCATTTGCAAACTGGAATTAGCTAGTAGGCTACCAGGTTGAGGTCTCTGGCTTAAGCAATGAAGACACACAAACAAGGACAATATGAGGTAAACAAGGCTGCAGTCACCATACAAGGATTGTATATAAAGTATTGAGAGAAGCCAGAGATAATTTCCAACTGGAGCATTAGAGAAGACTATGGAGGAAATCACTTCAAGTTTATCCTTCCAAAATGGGTCCCCTTTGGCACCGTTGTGATGGGAAGGAACACTGCTTCAGCAGCAGGAAATAGTAGGAATGAAGATCAGCAGAGGGAAATGATGGGTCAAGGTCAGACAGCTCTGATGTACATGACACTGTACTTCGTTTTTTTGTTTTGCTTCGGTTTTCGCTTCTTACTGAAAATAAATGTATGGTACATGTAATCTATAGTCATCAAAATTAGAGACAATTTTTTGTTTTTTCAGTAAGCACTACAAGCACAGAGTAAGAGATATGGACGCTGGAAATTGTTAGGGTCCATAAATTAAAGGAGATTTTGAGGCAAAGGAACTCTCACTGCTGGCAGTCTACTGCATGGTGTGTGGTAGGACATGAAGCTTAAAAGAACATCTGAATCTTGGAAGGGGTCCAGCAAAGGCACCAGGACTAATTTGGGAGATGAAGGGTATGTCTTATGAGAGGAGGCTTAGAGAGCTTAACATGCTTCTGCTTTAAAATAAGGCGGGTGAGCAGAGTTCTATTGATAGCCTGCAAGGCTTCCAGCATGAACTTGTACTTGGTGTGAGATAAAATTCAAAGTCACACTAAGGAATGTCAAGAAGGCAGGTTTCTTTCTTTTTCATTTCAAGAATGATGAGTCCA